TAAAGAAGTCCAGACGCTTTTCTTTCAAAGCTCCTTAGACTACAATGACTGATAGCTTTCTTGACAATTCAGCGTAAAAGTAAGTCCTTCGAGCCGGATTTGAACCAGCGACCTAAGGATTTCAGCTACTGCCTCTACAGTCCTCCGCTCTACCAACTGAGCTATCGAAGGCACGTCGATATTTCCCCTCACACAGGACAGGCTGATGGGTTCAGTCAGGGTGACGCTATCCATGCGTGTGGTTTGGCTAATGAACGCCGGCCTTCACCTGACTGCTCGTCTTTAGCTAATGATGTTTCCTTTTTCCTCCAGCACGTTTGAGGTTTGTGGTGATGACCACGTGACTGATTCAGGAAGTGGTTCTCAGGTTTGGCGTGCGATTCAAATTCTTCTCTTTTCTTGGCAAATCTTTTTTGTGTGATGAAACCAACAAGAAAGCGGAGATTTCCCCCTCTCTGGGGAGATTTTGAACTGATCTCGCCTGATAAGGTATTGCTTAATAAGGTCATTTATTAGTAATTAAACTAAGTAATAAAGTATAAAGAACACAGCGGATCCCGTGTTGTTATTTATTTCTTCTAATTTCTGGTATATTAAAAGGCGAAGTGTCTGTTGTGTTCAAAAGAACTTGGATCTGGAGTTAGTTCATCAGATATGTAGACCCTTATCAACACTGATGCGTATCTAGCTGTGACATGCCATTTTATACACGCAAGCAGGTCTTTGCATTCTGTTTTCCCTGCAGCAAATGCTGCTGAAAATTTAGCAAAAGTAGAAGCAGCACTTGTGTCAGAATGGGGTATTACACACACTTTTAATGCCTTGTGACTGATGTGCGTGGCACAAATTATTGTGTGGCGCAAAGATTAAATTAACACATTAAAAAGGGCTCCTGACCATATAACTTTGTTGCCTGACATCTGGGCAAACTGTAGGAAGACTGGGTTATTTCAAGAGCACTTTCCACTGGAAACATCACTTTACTTATTTTATTATAATACTCTACACAACACCATGTTGTTTAGGTTGCTGCTGCAATGACACTGGAAATAATCATTTTTTGTTGGCTACTTTTATAGAGGAGGCTGACACAAGTGCTGGAGCAAATGGGCCAGCTAGCATTGAAGCTAATTCAAGAGGTGGATACATGCTAGAACAGCACATAGCATAATGCGCCGACATGTTCATGACCTCAGGGAATGTGTAAAAGTAGCTTTGGCAGACTTACACACTGACATTGCCCCACTCTCATCAGAACACTATGAAATTATTATCCATACTTAATGATACCACAGGTAAGCTGTTAGAGGAGAAGATAGGGTCATCATCAAATTTCAGTCATTCAGAGGTTTTACAAGGTAAAGCAGGAGATGCAGGGAAGAGGCTAAATTCTGAATATACTGCTGTTATAAGAAACAGCGTCCTTCCTCCTCCTCCTCATCATTACAACCCCATATATCAGAAGCCTTTTAGCCTGTGAATCAATGGATATGGATACATTATAATTATTTTTTTGTATTTAGTCACTTGCAGCCTGTTTGCTTTGGTAGCAAACATCATTTGGACTCCACAGTACTGCAGGTGAGGAACAGTACTGTGGAAAAGATGTTATTTTTGTTTACAAATTAATAAAATGTTGTCCCTATTTTACATGTAGCATGTCCTTAATAATAAAAGCACATTCACATCACAACTTTCTCCCCAGTTTGTTTCCACCATATTCATAAGTTCAGAATTCATGTATTGGCATCACAAACATTCATTTCATCAATTCAAAGCTCCCTCCTGGACTCCCTCTCTCTGTTGGGCTCACTTTTTTTTCTTTGCAAAAAATTCGTCCCTCAAATTTTTACAGGTGCACTTTCTCTCAGGTCAGTAGTGATAGTTTCATTAAACTCCCTCTACTTGCTGATTACAAGTCCTTATATTAAGGCTATGAATATTATTATACTGAGGTGATGATTGTTATTCGCTCACTGATAAATTAAAAAACTGGCAAAAAAGTATCTTGAAATGCACAGAGGAAATCAACAGCAGGCTGGTTACAGTGTATCTACATTTCATTTAACACAGAATCATAAGTCCCCCATCTGTTTCCCTGGTAACCAAATACCAGTCGATCCAGGTGGTATCCTGTGATGCTCCTCAGATGGGTCAGCGCCAGATGTTCATACGCCTGCATGACTACAAATGTCAGTGATACAAGCCTGTAGTTATTTAATGCTATGACGGATGTGTTTTTTGGGGATTGGAATTTAGGTGGACCTTTGAAAGCATGATGGCGTTTGACAGGGTTGAAAAGTCTAGATAGAAGCCAGCGGGTCAACACAGATGTGGAGGGGTGAGGTCTGTGGCTCCGCTGCAGAGGAGGGGGGGTGACAGGGAGGCTGGCAGGGCATCTGGGAACTATTTGCTAATCATGCTCTCCCTATTTCAGTAGGGACACGACAGCTGGAACGCTGTCATGAGCAAGAGCAGGAGTTTTTGTGGTGCAATCACACTGAAAAATAAACCATAACTTCCCTGCAAACACAGGCTGTGTGTGTGTGTGTGTGTGTGTTGTACTTTATTTGTGTGTGTTGTAAAATTAAATGGCAAAACTCTCTCTGGGCATGATGCTTTCCTGATTTTGTGTCACTGGAAGAGCCAGCTCACGTCTACTTCACTTGTTATGTATGCAGGCTGAGTTTCAGGAGGAAGGGTAATGCTTGGTTTATGCTTCAGTGGGAAATCTACGCCATACCTTGCACCATAACCGGAAACTTCTTTTAAACCTATGATGTAACCTTCCACGTAGCCTGAAGTGTACCTCCACAGAAATGTGGGTCAATGCAGCCTGAAATGACCCAAATGGCATGAAAGGTTGGGGTGTAGGGTTAGAGGAGTTTTTGGTTATGTCGTAAGTGAGGACATACGTTTCCTGTAGAAGTCTAAATCAAGTTTAACAGAGGCGTATTCTTACCTGAGGTGGGGTAGTGTGTGGACAAGGGCAGGAATGTGTCCCTTTTAAAAGTGCATTAGAACATGTTCTACAGTTCTTGGCTGGAGGGGGATGGTACCTGTAGTCCTGTAGGCTTTTCCACACTGATGCAGGGTCATTACTCAAGAAACCTGCTGTCAGCTTTTCAACACAGCGTCTTTCGGCAACGTAAATCTCCTTTCAATTCCCCAGTTTGTTGTCGTCTTGGTGTTTATTTTATCGAAATGAAATTATCATGTCTTTTTTTTCTCTTTCTTTGAGAATTTGGAGGAATGGAGATGAGGAGCAGTCAGTGCAGAGCAGCCTTGAAATAGTTTTCTTACCAGTGTTTCATATCTTTATGCAGCTAGATGGAAATAAAACGACCACGGAGAGATGCAAAATGTGTTGGGGTTTTTTAATTTTGTGTCTCTTTCAATCAGTCTATGTCACTAATACCAAAATAGACCAACATATGCAGTGTGTGTGCTCTCTTACTGTCATAAGTTGCCTGCATGTTTGTAAAACCAGTTATTTTTCCTTTCGTTGTGATGGGAAATGTGTGTAGACACCTGACGTAGGAAGTCTTTTTTTGAACCCACAGTCCTAAAGGACAGTCCTTCGTCTACTGACTGGTCACATAAATTAAAAGGGTGAGATTGTGTTTATATAACTTTAAAGACACAATCATTGTTTTGTTTCTTATCAACTTAGTTTCAGTTATTAATTTCCTACCTTCCCCAGAATGCCCGTTCAACCCCAAAAAATACAGCTGCAGTACATTGTGCTCTTAAATTTTCCATTTATGACCCATCATCAATATGCTGCAACAAAACACTTATGAATGAAGAAGCAGTTGGTCAGGTGTGTAAAACTAATACAATTCTCTTTCACTGCTAGTTCTCCCACAGATGTGACTTACTTGATCCCAGCTGACCAAACCAACCCAAATACCAACTTTCTTATTTTTGCTATTAGCTCAACCTTTAAGTTAATTTCTTTATTCATATTTTTTTTTACCTTTAAAAAACAAAATCCAAATTCTAAGATCAAACAAAGTCCAAATGAAGAATTAAAAGTCAAATCGAAAAGTTAACTCCCTCCAAAATAACATAAATGTACAACTTTTTATCTAACTTTTTCACATTTGTCTCTTTATCACATCATTTAGATTAAAAAATGTAACTTGGAAAATGTTTAGCCGATTATTCTTTTTTAACAGGTTATTTTTTATTCTTCATCTCATTTCAAGGTTGGGTGAGTGAGGCCTGGAGTTCAGAGTAGAGCCACTGCTCCTCCACATCAAAATGAGCCACTTGAGGTCATTTATGGACCTGACTAGGTGAGCTGTTTATGGTACATCCGACCAGGAGGATACCCCAGGACAGACACACGACACGCTGAGGAGAGCAAATCTCTCAGCTAATTCGGGAGCGCCGAAGTATTCCATCGTAGGAGCTGGCAGATGGTTGGGAAGAGAGTGAGCTTGTCATCTCTCCTTAGACTTCTGCACCTGTGACCTGACCTAATCTCTATTTTAAATTTTAAATCCAGAGTACAAAATTTTTTAAAAAAAGAAAAAAAAAAAAGAAATTATTATTTAAAAGTCTAATTCACATGTTGTATGAAATATCACACAGAAAATTTTAAAAATTCAGGGTTGTTGTTTCTTTTTAAGTTTGTTTGCCTGATGATTTTGAATTTGATATTTTTATTCAAGAGATAAAATCTGATTAAAAACATATTTTAAGAAAAAATTGATGAAATAATGATTCTCTACATTTCAAATGGTTATATTTTTCTCTTTTATAATTTCTTTAAATTTTTTACTTGAATTATTTGAGTCAAGTAAATTAATTATTTTACAACAACTTCTTTTCTATTGCCATACATGGTCTTCCACACTTATCATCATACCTGTTTCACATAAAATGCTTACTACTAAAAAATCTAAGATATGGGCAGAGATTTTATCATATAGTTTCTTTATTTATAGCTGATAAACCCCCGTCTATCACTTTTACTCAACTGTTAAATAACTGTATCCTTAACTGACTGTAACTGTCAGTAATAAAGCCGGATCTGGCATTTTTATAGTTTGCTTTGCACGGTTTCAAAGAGGAAACATTGATGGAAAAAAAACACACAAAAAGCTCAAACCAGTCTACCTATAATCATCCATGTCAACTCTCCACTGTCCACTGAGACAAAACCCAACAAAATACAAAAATAAAATAAAAGAAGACTTAGTGAAGGAATTAGTCAAGCTGCATAATCAGATCAGCTAAATGTTGTTAAAAATTAATTCAGTGTGAAAATGTGTGCTGTCCATGTTCTTAAGACAGGAGATTTCGATCACACCCAGAGAGATCAAGAGAGAAAGAAAAATAACCATTGTAGCCCTGGTAGTCCAAACATTCATGAAGGATTTCCACATACACGTTTTTTCTTTTTACACAACATAAACACATCAGCGAGACAAACTGGAAAAAGAAGAACATATTCATCAGCGTTTCCACTCTGCAGCCCAACATTCCCCTCTACTCCAGAAAGAGTCCTAAATTTGGTGTCCTTCATGTCTAAATGCTGTTTCAGAATTGCTCACAGTCAGTTCAGTAGTTATTCATCTTTGTTCAAAGGCAGATTCTGGTATCTGTCTACGGTTGTGGACGTTCCAAGAAAACCTTTCGCCTACTGTTGCGGCGAGTATGTCAAGATCATCCACGCAATCACAAAGTAGAAGAGGAACACCGGGTACACCACCAGTGCCTTGCGGTTGGGAGGCTGGCTGTCGGCGAGGAAGGCTGTGGACGCGAAAGTCGACCAGCCGAAGGACGCCGTGACCACCGCCAGCCGCACTGCGAATACGACCCTCCCGGAGCTGATGACCAGGACAATCCTACACACTACCATGGCCACTGTAAGAGGCATGATGCAATATCCCAACACGCACAGGCTCTGGAAGAAAGAGATGGTGCCACCCAGCAGCTTGGAGTTGAGGGTGATGATGATGGAGCCAAACCACACGATGACGAAGACCTGGGAAGAACAATATATGTTTGTTAGCAGGGAGTCAGCAGAGGCATTTACTTAAAATACAGAAAAACTGCACATTTAATCCCTGAGGTATCTCAATATATTTGAACAGTGCGTCTCAGCTGTTCTACATAGTAAAGAAATGGTGCTGTGGTAAATGAACGCAACAACTCTTTGGGCCTAAATTGTAAGAAATAAACGTTTAAAATTACAGAAATAAATTCTGGAGCTCAATGCCCAGACTTTCCTTTTTATTTTGCTAATTCAATTCACATTTTCCAAAGACGTCCAGTGGGCTGGACTGGAGTCTTTGCTGGACCAATTTTGGACCCTGAGCCTTATGTTTGACTCCCCTGCTCTAAGCTATTGCACTTTTGGCACAATCTTACACATAATAGGAAAAACACCGCCGCTTTTCGCCTTTTATATGTGTCCTCTCTTCATTTTAGTCCCTGACACACGGACACTGTGATTCACCTCCTCTCAGAAGCTCTCGATCTGTAATCCTGTCATGAATAATGTACGATTTACATTTAGCTAATAATACTTTTAAGAATTCTCATACGACACAGTGTATGTTACTGTTCGATATTAGTAGTAATGAGCAGAATTCACTAATAACTTTATAAATGTGGTTGAAACGGCTCATTAATTCATGGAGGGATGCGCAGTAAAGTTTGAACTGTTGGATCCAGAGATGATGAACCCTCTAACCTCAGCGAACTGCGGTCCTCCCTGGTCCTCGTGGTCGGCCGCACCGCCCTGCAGCAGCAGAGCCAGCGTCACGCAAAGCAGCAGCGGGCCCCACAGGTCCCAGTCCCGCAGCAGAGCCGAGCTCCGCTTCGGGTAGAGGACGTGGATGAACTTGTTCCCCACCGCCCGCAGGTCCCTCATGATGGTGTCCTTAACCGGTTCGTCCAGAGTGGAGAATTCATCGTCTCTTCTGGAGGGGCCGACGGGCACCGAGATGTCCCCTTCCACCGGGATGTCCTCCGAGATGGAAACGTCTGACAGTCCGGCGAACGGTCTGCTGGCCTCCTCCGATGCCGCCATCTTACCTCGCTGAGAAGCTTTGTGAAAACGTCGTCAGAGCTTCTGGGAGATTAGTCAGAAAACTTCATTTAACTTATTTAAAAGAAAAAAAAGCAGACAGAGCAGCAGTTACTGGTGAGTTTAAATCCTGTTCTGTGACTTGGTCTGACGGCGTATGCTCCACGTCAGCTGAGGATTGTTTACTTCCGGCAGACGCTGGATATCCGTGTGGTACGTTCAGGTTCACCTGCGTCAGTTCCACCAGCTATCGTTAAACAAAAAACGGTTCTGAAAGAATTCGAGAGTGAGCAAATTAAATTTATACGAAGAATAGATATATTTACTTCCCATTCATCCGAAAGTAAAAGAAGTAAAGTCCAAAGTCATAAATGAGATTTACCGAATAAATGAATTCCTAAAATGAAAATGTAATCTAGATGGGAACACGTGTATAATCTGTGAAAATGAGAAGTCTGCATCACTTGCTTTTCTATTGTGAGTCGGGGGAAGCTGGAATGACACGTGTAGCTGGCTACAGTCCAGAGGGATTCGGTTACCACATTTAGCAGTCACTCTAATTAAATTTATGGATTTGTATTGCAAATCTAAATTTGGAGTCTGTTATCAGTACTGTGTTGTTATTAGGGAGATATTTTATTCATAAATGTGGATATTTTAAAGCTAAACCATGTAACAAATGACTGAACAAATATAAACTCCCGATTAAAAGTCAAAAACTTGCAAATAACACGGTTTGGTCTATTCAGTAATAGTTTCTCTATTCAATAAATTTAATTTAATTTTAAGATGACCCCACCTTTTCCAGATACAGTGCAGGATTTGTCATTTTTTCACATTTTGTGTCTATTTTTCACGTTTCACTTTTTGTTATTCTTTTTTCTTTCCTTTTTAATGCTATACTTTGTGTATATTAATTTCTTGAATAACCATTGTTGGTGCCTTTTTGTCTGTAGCGAGGTTCATAAATAAAGTTCTTTAAAAAAAAATGTGACCTCCATTTTTCAAGACGGTCAGTGAAGGTGTCGTCAGCCGTCGAGGACTGGTGACGTACTAAGTGGTCGACGGTTGTTTAATCTTGTGTTTAAATTTCAGTCTCGCTAACCAAGAGACATTTTCTCGCTGCAGAAGCTTGAAAATAAACGTAAATAAAAATAAAAGTCGATGATGTCCACGACGTAAGCTCTGTGACGTTGTGTTTTCACGCTGACTCGTGTGTGGAGGCATCAGGACGATGGATTTCTGCGGGAAACAGGTGAAAGCAGACTGCGAGCAGCTCCTGAAGCGCTTCCAGCAAACACAGTCCGTCCGCTTCGAGATTTTCGCCAGAATATGGAGAGAGATGAAGTTCTCACAGATTTTCTAGTAGGTTTTCTGCTCAAAACATCCCTTTGTTTTCCATACAGGGTTTGAGTCTTCTTACCCAAATTCTTTTGAGGTTTTTGAGTGTCAGAAAAAATATTTTCTTTAAGTTCATGTCACCCTTATTATCTCTATTATTAAAAGGCAAACATTTCACACACAAGTGTCCAATTTATAGACACACTTAATTTCCAGGAAAGCAAAGTACACAATAATTAAAGTGAAAGGGCCATGAACAAATAATCTCAATGGTGAAAACATGGATAAACACACAGGAAACAACAGAATAAATGACATTTAAAAAATTAAACTGGAGATCATGCATCACACCAGCAGCAGCACCACTGACCTCTTAGACCCGTTTCTGGTGAAATCCTTTCTCAGTGTTGTATGTTTCTCTCGCTGCAGTGGCACTGTGAATCACGAGAAGCGAAAATTCAGTCGTCTGATACTGGACGTGGCCTCTGTCTTCTTCCTGCCACCCTTCAGCTTCCAGATCCGAGTAGGAGGACTTTACCTCCTGTACAGCTTGTATCAGTGCCAGAATGCGTCACCCTCTGAGCAGGTCAGGACCGACAGCACATGTACTTTCTCCTTAAAGTGATCAGAAAACTTGAAATAAAGCTCTTGCTGTGTCTCTGGCTGCAGATCCGTCTGGCACTGAAGGACTGGGCGGACGTGAAGAAGTTTGAGAAAGACGCTACAGTTGCTCATCACTTCGACGTGATCTACATCCTCCAGCAGCTCATGTTCTGTAAAGCTTTCCACTTCACCGCCACACCCTCTCTGGTTAGTTTCCTGTCTAAATATTTTAAGTATATTTAAGGTGGATCTATTTTATTTTATTTTCAGCTTCCATGATATTGTGCCCACAGCAACCTCAGAATTCTGCTCTCAGCTGACAGGAATTGTGGTCCATCCAAGGCTAGAAACATTACATCACTAGTTAGAGTAGATATATCTTCTTTCCTTCCCCCAGCTCACCTACAATAAGAAGAGGAAGGTGGAAAGGTCGCCAATGCATGAGGAGTTCATGGAGCGAGTGTCCCGTCCACAGGAGCTGGTTAACATCGAGCTGCTGGAAGTAAGTCGACCCTTCCTTCCCCCTACTACCCAAACCCCACCAAATGTAGTTACATAGCAGTCAAGCTGCATCACATTTCAGGCTGCATTTCTCTGCAGAAGCATCCTATTCTCTCTGTGACGCTAAAAATACTCAACACAAAGGGATTTTAGCTGCATAGGAGGGCAGGAAAGTGAACACAGGAATGACATGGAGCATCCTTTCAGATTTCAAAATAAAAATACTGCGGTTTGTGAAAAGGGGGGTGGACATCAACAACACAACAACAAGACAACATCGCAAACAGGTATCTCTGTTGTCTTGCAGGAAATGGACAACATTCACCAGCACTATGAGAATCTGAAGGCATCCACCCTCTCTCTGGCATCAGCACAGCAAGATCCGTCCCTCAGCCTGATCCGTAAAAACCTCGTCCCTCAGCTTCGCAGCGCTGTGGTCGACTTCTACAATTGGCAGAAAAGGAAGGTCTGAAAACAGAACATATCTCCTGTTGTTACAGTTTATTTTACCATGTTATAGCTTCACTTTTTGTGTGTTTTTTCCCACCTCTGATGTGATGCTGTGTCATGTTTTGTCCTGACAGGACAGTGTGGATGAAGAAGAGGACAGCAGGGAGGGAACATCATCCCAGCAGGAGGTGAGTTAGCCATTTCAGTGTCTTACCTCATGTCTGTTGCAGGTTTAGGTGATGAATCACAGGAAGTCAGAAAGCTGTTGGAGTTTTCCAAAGATGCTGTAACTTTCTCCAGAGACGCCTCTGTTGACCCGCTGTCTTTGTGTGTGTGTGTGTCCTCAGTGCTCCAAAAGGGCGGGGCTCCTTGCTTCCATCAAATCGAAGGCGTACGGACAAGCAGCAGAGGTTTGTGTCAGTGGATGCAGTCTTTACTGATTTTTATATTTAGTGTGACAATTTATTATTTTATAAATGTGTTTTTCCCTCAGGCCTCCAAGTCAAGGCGTCACCGCCAGGTGGAAGTGGATTTCACCAGTAACGATGCCAGATCCGCCCTCACGTTAGGTCGCTCCAGAATAACCAAGCCGTCACTCAAAGCCAGAACCAGTGAGAATCTCCATATTTCAGGTAATCTTCCTGTAACCACTAAAGATAAACATTTCACACTCGTCCCTGCTTTATGTGCGATCCCAGGCCCTGACCTTGACATTGACAAACTGGGATCAGCATGCTTTAAGATGCCATATTTTAATAAATAAATAAAAAACTATTATTGCTATCCCCCTTCTGTTCTTTATTGCGGATATAATTAAGTCCTCCGAGGCACCGGTAAAATTAAACAGTGACACTGAAGTGCTAAAAAAACACACAGAAACAGCCTGGATTTAATCTATAAATCACTGCACATGTACACTATGCTTTATATTTTCCATCTGCTGATTATTAAAATAGAATTAGAATAGAATTTTATTACATGGAAACTCTTTATGAATGAATCCTTTGTACTTCTCAGGTGACTTGTGGACGGAAGCAATGACGACCACTAAGATCAGTCGGCTTGCACAGCTCGAGTCTGCTCGTGATGGTAAGCGTGATTAGGCTCGTTTATATTTCATGTGTTTGCTCACTGGCCTCTGCTGTGTTTTCATTGGCTGGCTTGTGCTCTTTTTGGTCTTTTTCTTGCAGATAAACCGAAACAGTACAAAAAGTTCAAGTGGTCCTGAAGAAACTGCACAACACTGGAGCTGCTGTTCAGAGCATCCACTGAAGTCTGAGATGTGCTTTGCTATTGTAATAAATCATGTTGACATCTTTACCTTTTTTTTAATCATGTCTTTAAATTATTTTTTAATCAGTTCATTGGTGGTTACATTACAGTTACAGTAAATTAATAGAAACATTGTTCATAGTAAAGCTTATCGCCATGTAGCTTTCTCTCTGAAGGAAACATCGTCTGCTGAAGCATTTTCATTCATGTGTTTATATATTTCAACATTTGATCTAATTTGATAGTTTAATATAAAAACTCATTTTTTTACAGTTACAGTTGTCTGTCTCTTTCTTGTGTAACATTCCGT